GCGGACGAAAGTAAACCATATACAGCTTTTGTAACTCACAACGGACAATTCCAGTTTCTTCGAATGCCATTTGGTCTTTCAAATGGCCCTTCAGTATTCCAGCGCTTTATAAATTATGTTTTTCGTGATTTAATTGTCAAAGGTTATGTTTTACCCTACATGGACGATGTAGTTATTCCCGCCAAAAATGAAAATGAGGCCATTCATCGTCTCAACCAAGTACTCAAAGTTGCTAGTGAATATGGTCTAGAAGTTAATTTTCGTAAATGTTAATTTCTTCACAAAAAAATCGAATTTCTTGGACATATCGTTGAAGGTGGTAAACTTTTTCCTTCCCCTTCGAAAACAAAATCTGTAATTAACTGCTGCATTTCACAGATTAAAATATTTGCTTTCTCAACAACGAGTTTTAAGTATTTTTAATCAAAAGAGTCCTATCGAAATTCATACCGACGCATCCATTGATGGCTTGGGGGCAGTCCTACTACAAAAATCTATGAACGATAACAGCTTTTACCCTGTCTACTACATGTCAAAGAAAACATCGGACAACGAGCGTAAATACACCAGTTATGAACTCGAAGTCCTTGCAATTGTTGAAGCTTTAAAAAAGTTCTGTATTTACGTCCTTGGTTCACATTTTAAAATCATCACTGACTGCAACGCTTTTGTGCAAACTTTAAATAAAAAGGAACTCAATTCGAGAGTAGCCCGATGGGTTTTATATCTCCAGGATTTTGATTACAAAATTGAGCACCGTATCGGCTCAAAGATGGCTCACGTGGATGTCCTCAGTCGCAGTCCATGTTGCATGACTATCCAAGACAGTGTCCTTCTCCAATTTCGAAAAGCACAAGAAACCGACGAGCATATTACGGCTATTAAAGCACTCCTTCAAACAACGCCTTCGTATGATAACTTTTTTGTTAAGAACAATCTCCTGTACAAAAACGTCAAAGACACTGACTTACTTGTGGTGCCTGAGGATATGCAGGCAAATGTCATTAAAACAGCTCACGAACGAGGCTACTTCGCCGTTATCCACACTCAAGAACTTTTAAACAACGAATATTTTATCCCAAATCTGAAAGAAAAAATTGAGCGGTGTATCCATAACTGCATCCCATGCATCCTCAATAATCGAAAGCGTGGCAAACAAGACAGACTTCTGCACCCCATTGACAAAGACGAGGCACCCTTGCACACGTACCATATCGACCACCTAGGTCCCCTTGCCACCACATCAAAGAAATACAAACATATTTTGGCAGTTATAGACTCATTTACTAAATTCATGTGGCTTTATCCGACAAAGTCTACAGATGCAGATGAAGTTATCAGTTGGCTGGAATCAAAAGATCAGTCTTCAGAAATCCTTCACAGATTATCTCTGATCGAGGCCCTGCATTCAAATCCACTGCATTTGCAAACTATTGTGACACAGAATAAAGCACGTTCTTATTACAGCTGGCCTCCCACGATTGAACGGTCAAGTTGAGCATTTGAACTCCATTATTATTGCTGTCCTTTCTAAACTCTCCATAACCAACCCTGAGCAATGGTACTGCCACGTTCCCGCCGTGCAACAAATTATTAATTCAACTTTTCAACGTAGCATCAATTCCACTCCCTCTGAATTTCTCTTTGGGACTAAAATGAAATCGCGAAACGACATAAACATCGCTGCTCTAATCGACGAGGAGATCAAATCTGCATTCATTCAGCAATGTGACGATCTTCGTAAGGACGCAAAACAGCAAATCTCTAAAGTGCAAGACGAAAATCGCCGTACTTATAATTTGCGACGAAAACAGGCACAAAAATTTCAACTTCATGACCTCGTGGCTATCAAACGAACTCAGTTTGGCCCTGGTCTAAAACTCAAACAGAAATTTCTCGGACCTTATAAAGTCACCAGGCTCAAACAAAATGACACATATGATGTGGAAAAGTGTGCATTTTTCGACGGACCATCCAAAACATTCACTTGTGCTGAATACATGAAGCCCTGGTCCAACAATATTGAACGTATCACTTGATTTTTAACAACTGTCAGTATTATAGGTCCTCCTGAGTTTGGGCAGATGACAAATGAGAGCTTTCTAATAATTTTTTTCCTCATATCAACTTTTAAATTCATTTTGTCATACTAATGTTCTTTTTATTTTTAGTTACTGCTGTGGTGTGTCTAATCTAATTTTTTGCTCCATTTGTGTAAGTATCCTCAGCTTTGTATCTACAGATTATTTTTTTCATACCTATGTTACTATATTATAATAATTTTTTTTAAAATTTGATGGCGAGGCTTCAGGCGAGGTCGCCTGTCCGGTCATGATGGCCGAGTGTGGGAAATGTTATGTCATGATATTCCGTAATCCCCTACTGTGTGACGTATGCATTGTGTCAGCATGTGTTTCCCGCCTTCGGGAGAAGACGAGGATTAGTTGGCGAGCGGAGCAGACGTTGCTGGATCGCTCGTATATCATTTTCATTAATTGTAATCCTAATGTAATCTATATTTGTAAATAGTAATAAATGTGTGTTATCAACTATGGTCGTTGCCTTTCCCCACAATTCTAGATAACTGTTGTTGCCTGGCACATTTAAAATTGCATCTTGCACCATTTAATGGATGCGAGTTCTGCGCAAGATTAAACTGCAGCACTCGCCATGGAACTTATTTCCCCATGAAAGGCCTGCTTCTGCAAGTAACTTCTAATACTGCATCAACTACTTTCATTACTAATATATATGTGCATTTCATGACCTTTTTGCATATATTACTGTATAATAAATTTATTTTAAAGAATATTACGACATTTTTCTCATTTCTCGATATACTGAAAATTGATAAACTACTTTATATCTAAAAGAACGATCAATACACAATTTCAGTTCATTTGCAGTGCATAATTCTTTTTTTTTTTTTTCCTAACAGGTAGTCTGTGTGAAGTGTTAAGTAGGTTGGTTTTCAGTCAGCAATCAACTATAGCAATTAAACACATAAAAGGCAATTTTCTTTTGTAATGGCCACTATAGCATACAAGTGCCAAAATTATTTATTAATGTATCAAATTATTTTCAGAATTTATGCAGAAATAAAAATATTAAGAATAAAATTTTAAAAAAATTGAAAGGTTTCAGATTTTAAACTACGTCTAAAAAAGCTTTTTTTTAACATTTTGTGTGTTACATTTTTTTAAAATTTAATGTCATGTTCTTCGCACTAAACCATAAAATTCAGTTCAAGAGCAATATCACAAAAGAATTTTAAAATGAGCATATCTTTAGAATTTCCGATACAGTCTCGCATGCTGGTGATAAAAATGTTTTTATCTGTACAATTTTGACATTGCTCGCTTTGAAATCCTTGAGTGTGTTAATCAAAAATTCCTTAAAGTTTTACAAAATATATTTATGCAGATTCTTCATTATTTAATTTCTTTAAATATAATATAGGGCGATAATATTTCGTGGCAACAATTTAAAAGTGAAACAACACTTGTAGTGAATCAAAGCAAAAAGCCAAAACGAAATTAATAGTCATTTCCGGCAAATTGTTCATTTGGACTAATAAATCTGCCATAATGGCAGAAACAATACACTAAGACATTGAGAAAATAATAAAGATTTTAATTTATAAAATTTTATTGATTCAGAATGACAATTAAGAGAAAAACACCAGTAACATTAAAGTATTTCATCAAATATGAAATGGGATTTTGAAATTTGAAAATGTTAGGAAAAGGCACAGAATTTTAAAACTCATATAAATTTATGTTTAAATTTAAATGTGCAATATCTAGACAGAATTTTAAGCTGAGTAAAAAACAAACTTTTTTCCTATTAAGTTTAATCAACAGTTCAAATGCAAAACGATAAATTCATACCAGTGCATTCAGGAACCAGTTAAATAACTACTTCAATTTTCATGTTATTGTTAAGAAATTAGTCACACAAAATTTTAGTTTTTCCTTATTACAAAAAATTCACAATTATTATACTTTTATGCATCATAATCAAGTAAAAAACTCAAATTTATTATATATCTTGCAGATTAAGATTTTTTACAATAACTACGAAAATGTAAAATAAATATTCAGTATATTAATGCTCAGGATAATTTTTTTTTTAATGACCGCACAGAACAAAAGAAATCTGATAGACATAAAACACACAAACTTGCAGATCATATTTCTCAGATTTGAAAGGGGTCTTACTTTTTAAAACATACACATTAGTACTTAATTTGTATGCATTTTGGTAAAGCTTAGTGACAATTACAATTTTCTTCAGGTAACATGAGATGGATATCTCTTAACCCGCCATGTGGCAAAAGGCCAACCTGTACTCCTAAATTTCCCAAGAAGACTACATGTAAGATATATTTTCCAAAATGACCCTCCCAATTTTACCTTGACTCTTTTTCTTCCAATATAAATGCTACTTTATTTGTCTAGACAGATTTCAAGATGCATGTCTGTCTACTTAAAATAACAAGATTAATATTGAGCATATATACGGTTTGGTGGGTTAATGTCCACAAAACACTGCAACAATAAATTGTTGGCATTCAATACGCATTTTTCACTGTAACTGTATTTAACACAGAAAAGCAGAAATAAAATTCTTTTTTTTTTTTTTTTTTTTTTTTGTTTCATTCAGAAATTTTCCAAATTGCAATTAAATACTTTGAAGAATAAATTTCAAAATTAATCCTTTTTTTTTATTAGAATATCCTTAAACTCATGACCTTATAGATCATTTCTTTACAGACAAAAATGTTCCATTATTAAATGAAAAAAAGTTATTTAAAAGTGAAACCTATTTGAAAATAAGAACATAAGTAACTTCTCAAAATAATGTTTTACAAATACGGACTTAAAAAGTGTACAAAGTTTCACACATAACACATTGCCGATATTTAAAACATTTCACATATTTTGATACTAAGGCACACATATGTAAAATTCTCCCTTACAAATGCACTTAATACATACTTGATAAGTTCCGTAAAAGCATAACCATCCACCCAGTTCTCGACAAAGGAAGCTCCTTGCCGCTGAGTGATAAACTGGCCTAAACGAAGTCGATTTTGCATGCATTTTTGCCTTGCAGCTTTCTTTTCCATTGTGCTCTAAAGTAAAAACTTATTTGTTAGAAACAGTTTTTATCCAAACAATTATGATAATTTACATACTTTGAAGGTTGACAGACAGAAATGTCGGATGAGAAAAACTAAAGATCTATTGCAAATTTTGGTCGAAATTAATGACTTTTAAGGACAAAAAATAGTCCCCTCCCAAAAAAAAAACCTAAGGTCTTTTAAGAATCTTTACAAATCTTGCTGTTGTTTTGAAGAACAAGTACATAAAATTTCATCAAGATTAAAATACAAGTGCAGATTTGTACGAATAACACATACACAGACACTCTTTATTATATATATATAGGGTTAGTAATATAGTAATTGTTATATTTATATATACAAGGTGCAAGAAATAAGTTTCCAACTTCAGAGGGCTCTAGAATGTGTTCTATTGGTCCAAATTAAATAAAATTTGAACTACAGATAATTCAAACTATAAATGCTCATGCACACACCCATTCTCATGCTTTGATTTGAAAATATTGCAGAGATCGCAGTATATATCCTTTGATTAAGTAGTGTTTGAGATTTACAAATCAGTGACTTTGTAAGGTTTATCCTAAGTTTTTAATAATTATCCTTAGTTAAAGCTACTTTCCTGTCCTTCCTAATTTCAGCTTACAATTTCCTACCAGAATGTGTTTTTAGAGTCACGCTTAATGCAAATGAGAAAGAGTGGTATTTAAGTCGAGAGCCTCAGAGTTTCTGACTAGCGCGTGTTTGCCTTTTGGCCACGTCTTTCTCCAAGTTGTTACTACGCTCAGCCGTATTACAAGCCTTTGATAGCTTCACTAGTTTATTCAATATTTAGGGGTTAACTACTTAGAATTTTGATAGCTTTGGCTATATATTTTTAGTTAAGCATAGCTAAGTTCTTAGTTCTTATTATTTTGAGTTCAAGTTCAAGTGGAAGCCTTGCAATATGCCCTGAGAAAAGGGTCATCTGTTTAGCTCGTTGTTTTGAGAAATAAAGGATAATTAACCCTGCTTGAGTTTACGTTTCAGTTTCTGAACTAAAGCGATTAATCGCTTAGCTGTTCACTAGGTTCCTCCACTTTTAGATAAAAGGGAGGAACCCCACAACTTAACAATCACAAAATTTTCAAAAGCAGCAGTATCTTTAGAATTCCCAAGTGTTAGCAAGTGTCAACGGTTGGCAAGCATTTTCTTTTCTTTTCTTTTCTTTTTTTTTTTTTGTTCCTCAGTTTGTATCAATGTTCGGTTTTCGTAATAAAATAAATAACTTTTATATTTGCCATTTTAGCTTTATTTATCATCAGTCTCTTCTCACTTAAGCCACATAAAGCTTAACAACAAAATCACAATCAAATTTTACTGCCTTTTAATTTCTATAGCATTAATACAAGTCTGCGCAGCAGAGCCTTTTGAATATTATGGGTTTAAGGGACACACATAGGCCTTAACTAACATTTAAAATTTGCCTATTATAAGTTTAGTTATTAAGTTTGCCAATTATGGCTTCTAATCATGGCAGATTTTTTAATAACAAAGCACTTGGAAAGTTTAGTAAAACAAATCATAATTATATGAAGTTTTCTTCCCTCAATTTCCAGTTGAATTTGCCTGGAGAGATTTTATTATATCCGCTCCCCGAGTCATTGGATGACAGTAGATGCCATGATATAGTATACGAGTCATTGCATTTAATATGTAATAATGTGCTGTTGCTGAAGTATGTTGAACTTGAGGAGCAACAATATTGAATTTTAGTATTTATTAGTCTTCAGCTCTCTTTAGAGGGCTCTAGAATGTGTTCTATTGGTCCAAATGAGATAAATTTGAACCAGAGATAATTCACATGATGTACCTGGCAATTATTAAATCAAATAAAATTAGTACTAAAATCTGGCAATAGGTGGTGTTAAGTAATATATATCGTTTGAGTATGCAAAGGTGGTATGCAGTTACATAAATGGGTTTCAAACCATCCAGTTTTGTTAAACGACAACAAGGTTACTGAATATAACTTTTCTTCAGATTCCCATCTTGTGAAAACTCTTGGTATGCTTTGGGCATCTAATTTCCATAATTTAACCTTTATGATTAATATAGAATCAAAGGCAAGTTTCACAAAAAGGGATGTTCTATCTTCCATAGCAAGCCTGTTTGATCTTCTTGGGCTAATTGGTCCAGTGATTACAAGGGCAAAGATATTTCTACAAAATCTGTGGAGAAAAAAAATTAAATTGTCATCCAATTCTTCCCAATGATAAGAAGGAATGGTGAAATTTCTTAACCCAACTCCCGCTTTAAATCAAGAAAAAGTTCCTAGGCATGTGAACATTACAAATCCTAGAATGATTGAATTACATGGATTCAGCGATGCGTCAGAACGTGCCTATGGTGCAGCAATCTACATAAGCTCAAAAAATAGCCAAGGACAGTGGCAAACAACATTGTTACGTTCCAAATCTAGAGTATCTCCGATAAAAACCTTAACAATACCCAGGCTGGAATTATGTGCGGCATTGCTACTAGCTTGACTAACTTCAAAGGTCATCTCCATTATTCAAGTTGAGTTTCATCATGTGTACCTGTGGTTGGACTCTATGATAACGTTGGCATGGATAAAAACGAATCATGAAAGACTTAAACCCTTTGTGTCCAACCAAGTTAAACTAATCAACGAGCTATGTCCTGACTATGATTGGAGACATGTTTCTTCAGAAACATGTCTTCAGAAAGCAATCTAGCTGATTTCATATCTAGAGAAACCAATGCGACTAGTCTTCGGCAGAAATCTATGTGGTGGACTGGCCCTTCATTTTTAAAGTTGAACATTCCATCTTCTAAGGAACCTATTAACATGACTGATAATGATTATTCTAATGAACTAAAGACTAATTCTAATTCTGTTTTAGTTTCTAACACTACTAATAACTTCACTGATGATTTTTTAAAATATTAGTAACAGTTTTACTAAACTTATACACGTTTTTAGTTATATTTGCAGATTTATAAATAATATCAAATGTCCTAAGAATGGAAAAGTGGGCAAGTTAACAACAGAAGAAGTAACAAGTGCTTCTAATCATTTAGTTAAACATGCAACTTTTAGCCATGAAATTAATTGTTTAAAACATAACAAGGATTTGAAGCTGAGTCAGGTAAGAAATTTGTATCTTTTTTAGACCAAAATAAACTTCTTCGAGTTGGAGGTCGATTACAAAATTCTCAATTGAGTAGGAATTCAAAACACCCAAAGCTATTATCAGCTAGGCATAAGTTCACTGAAATCATTATGGAATATTTCCATAATAAAAACTCGCATGTGGGTCCACAATCACTTTTGCATTTTGTCAAAAAAGAATTTTGGCCCACTGGAGGCAGAAATCTGGCTAGAAAGATTGTAAATGCGTGTGATTTGTTTCAAAAACAAACCAATCAAAACAAATCAATTAATGGGAAATTTACCAATGGTGCGAGTCAATCCAAGCCCAACCTTTTTAACTGTGGGATTGACTTCTGCGGTCTTTTTCTTATAAGTTATAAGGATCAACATAAAGGAACCTCTCAAAAGGTATATGTAGCAATATTCATATGTTTTGCCACCAAGACAATCCATTTAGAGCTTATTACTGATTTAACATCAAAGGCTCTTCTAGCAACATTAAAACGTTTCTTCTCAAGAAGAGGAGAAAGAAAGGAAAAGTTTTCACCACACACACTGACATTGCGTTTTCTGCTTTCAAAGCAAACAAAATTACCTAGATCAAAATAAATAATTCATTATTATTCCTACTTCCTTTTGAACGACGATCCCTAGAATTTCCGGGTATAGAAGTTCAAAATCCCCGGAGCACAAACACCCCTGATGATATCCGGCAAACGAGGAAGATATGCTGTTAAAAAATTTTGGCTGATCACCCGTTCATCTGTGCAATGCCATCTTAACAACTGCTTTACATGACAATTAGTGTCAGGAGGTGTACCATCCTGTATGAAAATGATGTCCTGAAGGCATCCATGCTGTTGAAGTTGTGGCATTACAAAATCTATCAGCATATCATTATGCTATCGTCATGAGATGGAAGTGGTTTGGATTCCATTTGCAGTTATCTCTTAAAAAAAAAAAAAAAAAAAAAAAAAAAAAAAAAAACATGGTTCAATGGTAAAGGTAGCCATAAAACTTCACCATACTGTCACTTTTTCAGGATGCAAGGTTTGTTTCTGGATAACATAAGAGTTTTCTGCTGCCCATATTCAACAACTGAGGGTGTTAATGTGCTCATTGTCAACAGTAGCCTTTGTCAGTCTACAGAATGTCCCATGACTAGGTGACATCAACCACCATTCCAATAAGAAAATCAAGTGCAAAGGTTTTATGAAACTTTGAGACCCTGTCCTGCACACGCTTGATTCAGCAGGAATAAAAATTCAAAATCCGCTGTAAGATTTTTTTTTTTTTTTAACAGTGGAATATGGAATATCCAATACACAAATCACACACTTACACAACCAGATGACAACTGACTGCTGGCTTCAACAAATGCAGTATTCACAATTTTGAAGAGCTATAAGACTGAACTTGTTTTCGCTCTCTACCTGGAAGAATGCCTAATTGCCCAATTGTTTCAAATTTTTTTATCATCCTGCATATGACACATGGAACATTGGATCTCTTCATATCAGCTTCATATGACAGAATTCTTTCACAGCTGCACAGAAGTTCCACTAGTTCTGGTAGAACAACATTACCAGTAATATTTTTTCTTACAACGTATGCATGACGTGCCGAGAAGTAACTAATGCTCATGTAGAATCTGCTTGTCGTGAACGATGCACGCTCCACTCTTGTGGAACGGATTGAGTCTCCAGACCGACGAGAATCAAAAAAGAAAGTTTGTTTTTTGAAAACTGGCAACGATGAGCGTAGGCTTTTAGAACAGTGATGTAATAGAATAATGACGCTAAGTAGTTAGAAGTGTTTTTGATGTTGTAATGATTTAGAAATTGTTCCTCTTTTGTGTGAAATGTCATATAAAGTGATTCATACAAAAAAGTGCCAATTTTAGATGAGTTTGAAACCAAATCAGAGTCTACAAAAGCAGAGGATCCACAATCGAAGAACGTGGATCATAAAGGTAAGCAAACTTTCTTCATTTGCTTATTTAGAATTTTGAATGATCTGTTTTTCACTGAATTGAAATGATATAAACACTGCTTTCTTTTTACCCAAAGAATAATGCTAAGAGGCATGCACTGTAATGCAAATGATGTTTCATATTTTCAATATATGCAAATAAATACCAATTTGTATTTTCAATTTGCAAATAAATACCAATTTGTAAGCCGAATTTTTGTACTAAAATTTTTTAATATATTTCAAGCACATCATTTGAATTAACTGTAGTTCAAATTTTCTCTCATTTGGATCTAAAGCTGTCTGAAGTGGGAAACTTATTTCTTACTAACCTTGTATACAGATAATTTTTATGAATCCAGCTGGTCATTAATAATAATTGAAATGAATCTGCATTTACTGCTTTTAAATTTCTTAATCTGTTAATCAATAACATTGGTGAATAATAATACATTTAAAAATATTTTCATTTGGGTAGAAGCAGCACTTTCCTTTAAAACAATGAATTTATTAGTAAATTCAAAAGAAAAATAAATATATCTTATTTTCCTGAGTGGCAACATGTCTTTAATACCATATGGTTTTCTGGTTAAATTTAAACCAAATATCCCAAGGACTGCAGAGTGGCAACACAAAGCTTTTAAATTGCTGAGTTTTTAATCAAAAGTTTGTCGAATTACTGCGAAATCTATGTATATAAAGAATGCAGACCCCATGGGATGGTTTTTGAGAACTCTTATGCGGGACTCTCCTCTTGTTTTGAAGATCATGTGCATCAAATTTCATCAAGATCAGAATAAAACTGTATATTTGTATGGAAGTCAAACAAGCAGGCATTCTTCTTTATTTATACAGATTCAAAACTATACATTTTGCTATCACACAGTCATTTAAAGTTTTAAAACAATTTTTATTCAAAGTTTTCTTAAAAAAATCATTTTTCTTCAGTATTTCTGAAATAAAAAATGAAGAGTTTCATAAAACTGCAGTTACTTACCTTCTCTATTAATAATTGCTTTGTTACACTTAAACATTTAGCTAGCTGTTCTTTCTGTTTATCTATTAACTTCTGCTGAGCATTTACTTGTCTTTTATACTCATCACTAGCCTAATCAATAAAAATATAGTGTCTTTAAATTTTTTAATATTAAAAAAAATTACACACATTTATTAACACTTTTATTACTTTTATTAATGAAGTTAAAAAAAAGGATTTAATAAGTGTAATTCTTCAAAATACACTTTTAATGTGCCACTTAGTTAAACTTTTAGTCTTAATTAAATAAAGCTGTGAAACAGTACCACACAGGAAATATGTGGAACAATCTATAAAGCACATTCAGAAATATTAACCATTTGAAAACAGCGAAGCGCTATTGCGCCTCACTTGTCGTATGCCAAAAATACGGCGCAGTGCGATAGTGTTTCTCTTGTTTTGTATCGAGAATGCAAAGACACTGCTGTTGGTTAGTATACTTTACGCGATTATTGAGAGCAGTTGTAGTAAGTAGCAGTTGTTTTATAGGAATTGGAAATTGTTTTCATTTTTTTACCAAGTGTTATACTGATAATTACGAAATAACCCATGTCAAGTTCTGATTCATTTGAAAGTGACTATGTTATGAGAAGTGATAAATGAAGAGTATAGTAATGACCTTGAAAGTGATAGTATAAGTGACATCATCATTCGTTCTAAGAGATTATGAGTTATTAGTGAAAGCAGTGATGATGATGAAGTAACTGCAAGTACCTCCAATGACGATATTATTGATGAGTTTTTACCTGTGGATACAATTTTTTCAAATGAATCGAATACTTTTTCTGCAGTACCTGGACCAAAGCATGCCCCTCCTCCTGATGCGAAACCAATTGAATATTTCAATAATTTTTTTTTCAATTTTCAATAATTTTTTTTCAAGTATAGTAACCAACAGCAGCGTCTTCGCACTCTCGATACAAAACAAGAGAAGCTCTATCGCGCTACCGTATTTTTGGCATACGACAAGTGAAGCGCTATCGCGCTTCGCTGGACTCAAACAATTAAGTTCGATTTGGCAATACTTTTTTACACAATGCATTGTGCCATATCTTGCACATGTGTAATGGATATTTTTAAACTCACAGTAATAAAAGGCCACTATTTTGTTTAATTTAAAAAATCTGATGTGGACACCACATGACTTCCTTGTATGTCATATTAAATTATACACATTTTTTGGCTGCATTTCATTTAAAATTATTTCCTCAAATTTCATTAGATATATTTCTCATTCAATCAACTCCGTTCTCACTTCACAGCAAGGCAAAAATACATAAAAATTCAAAATATCTTCATAAAAAATTGAAAAATATAGATAATGGTAGTAGAATAATAAATACAGTTAAAAGAATTAAAAACAAATTACAATTAAAATTAGAGATTCAACGCAAAAACAAGCAAATCCACCAGCGGGCAAGAAGACAGATGTTTTGGTGCACAAAACTGAGAGTTTACTTTTGGTCCTGCTCCACAAAAAGATCCTGAAGGTGCAGAAACTGAATTCTTATTCTGCTAAGTTTTAAATGTAAACAAATATGGCTGTTTTAGTAAACAAAACTGGCTTAGCCACACTTAGACAACTTTTAAATTGTTAATAATTCTACAACTATTGCATGCAGATTAACTAAAGGCAAAAAAACTTTAACCAGAACATAAGAACAATATAATTCAATCAATTTTAAAGTAAAAAATGCACCATTTAAGAACATACAAGAATAAAAAAAATCGAGCTCTGAGCCGAGTAACAAAGTGGATATATATATGCAATATTGCAGTTGCACAGTTAGAGATAGAGAGATAGATGCATAAAAAACAGTAACTTCCAGTCATAGTCATTTTTCAAACATCATTTTATTCCATGGTAAGTCACATGGATCAATTTTGTAGACTGGGTATTTTTTCAATCATATTTAAATACGATAATTTTTATTTACAATGTTTTTTAAAGCAAGACGTAGACATCTTAGCCTGAGAAGCAAAGCAGAGTGAACATGTAAGCAAAGAAGAAGCTATGGGAAGGAATAAGGTAGTTTTTTTTGCAAAGAGTTATTTATACTAAGTATGATGCATAAGTACAGCTAATCTGTGATTGGTTAATTTTAGGTTGTTATGCAATATGGAAAGATCTCAAATTTGGGAGAACAGATGAATTTAGAGGGAAGACCATAAAATCTAGAATAGTTAATTTTGAGGTCGCCAATTGTTTCTTAAAGCAGTTATCGTATTTTGTTATATTTTACACATACATATATAATTATAGCATTATGTATGCCTCTCTCTCTCTATATATATATATCTATGAGGGCAAGTCAAAAATTATCTACACTTTTGTCATAACTTTTCTTACATTGTGCACTTGGTCTTCTGTCCTCGCATATTTTATTGTTATACTCTTGTGGTAATGCTGTGAAAGTTTGATCTTAATTCCTCAATTTTTCTTCCTTCTGTTGTAGATATACCATGGCTGCTCCATTATAAGTTTGCACCAAAAAGGAACAACGAGCAGTGATCCGATTCCTCTTGCTGGAGGGTGTCAAAGGGTCAGACATGAATAGGTGAATCACTATTGATGAGGTAGCATCTGCTTTGAATATCAGTCATGGCTTTGCTCATTAAATCATACACAACGAGTTCGGTTTATCATAAAGACTGTGCACGGTGGGTACCAAGAAATGTTACTGCAGAACACAAGCTCACTTGTGTTAGGGTCTGTCATTGCTTTGTCAAAACACAGTTTTATGTGATAATACACTTGCAATAATAGTCTTTACATATTGCGATGACAGTCTTCGATGAATGTCTAACTCTTTAACACCCTCCGACCAGAGGAATCCTGATCACTACTTGTTGTTCCTCTTTGGCGAAAACGTCTAATGGAGCAGTCATGATATATCTGCAACAGAAGGAAGAAAATGGAGGAATTAAAATCAAACTTTCACAGCATTACCACAACAGTATAACAATAAAATATGCGAGGACAGAAGACAAAGTGCGTAATGTAAGAAAAGTTATGACAAAAGTGTAGATGATTTTTGACTTGCCTACATATACGAGGGTAAGTTGAAAAATAAGTTTCCCCTGTCGACTGTGGTCAGAGTTGTGTATGTCAAAAAATAGAATGAGTCAAAAAAATAGAATAAGTCAAAAAATAGAATGAGACATTAAAGATATGACATACCTTTATTTTTCCACATAGGTACCAAGTAGATTGAGACATTTGTCATATCGCTTGATAAGCTTCAAAAAAGCCCCCTAGGAAAAAAATCAGGGCTTTGCATATGGAAGAAGCGTTGAACGGCTTGTTTCACTTTCAGTATTGCTTCCAAAGCGCCTTCCCCCCCCCCCGAGATAATTTTCTTCAAAGCCGCAAACAGATTCGAAGTCGCTGCGTACGAGATCATGACATGTATGGCGGATGGTGTAAGGCGCTCCCAACCAAGAAGTTGCAATATGGCAATATGTGTTTCACGTCGCCAAGTGTGGTCTCGCATTGTCATCCATCAACAGCCAGAACGCCAGATGTGATCAAGGCCAGGCCACTTTTTTCCGAATCGCCTTCTTTCAATTTCGACAGGGTGTCAACAGTAGCCGCGTAGCATTGATGCGATTCCAACCTTCCAAAAAGTGCAGCAACAAAACTCCTTGGGCGTCCCAGAAAACTGTGAGGAGCACTTTACCTGCAGAGGGATTGAACTTCTTTCGGACAGGTGATGACGGATGTTTCCACTCCATAGATGCGGCCTTCGATTCTGGCGTGAAATGGTGGACCCACGTTTCATCCCCCATCACAATCCGAAACAGAAAGTCATTGCCATCTTCATGGTAACGCACGAAATGTTCCAGGCTGACCCCCATACTGAATACCGAAGTGAAACAAGCCGTTCAACGCTTCTTCCATATGCAAAGCCCTGATTTTTTCCTGGAGGACTTTTTGAAGCTTATCAAGCGATATGACAAATGTCTCAACGTACTCGTACAAGAATAATAAAATCAAGGTATGTCATATCTTTAATGTTTCATTCTATTTTTTGACTTTCATACACAACTCTGACCACAGTCGACAGAGGAAACTTATTTTTCAACTTACCTATGTATAATAACATAAACAAAGGAAAGAAAGCCTATTTAAGTAACTATGTCAATTTGCTGAGCAACCAAGATGTAACTAGAGAAGTCTTTGTTTAGCGTTTAGGTTTGGTTCCAGGCGAGTGATAAGATAAACATGGATTAAGTGAGGGTGCACTAATACATCCTCCCTTTATACACTAGATTTTGCATCACAGGAATTCTTCTGACACAAGATGAATTTCTTGTCAGTCAACGGTTCAACAATGATGCAGAACTAACAATTTTACTCTATTCTTTGAATTACAGGTACGGTCATTGTAAGGTATGAGAACTACTTAATAGTAGACTAATGACCTAATATCTAAAATAGCATATATCTCAATTTATTAAAAAATACAGGCTTTATTACTATAAGTTTGGTGCTTCAGTTATTTCCATTATTTTTTTAATTGTACAACAGACATCATTATCACAGTTTAGATATGAAAGGAATATAATATTCTATCAAAGCTTTAATTAAACTAATTAGTATTATGAAATTATATGAAAGTTATTTGGAAAGTAAAAGCAATAATTATTGCATAGAAGCTATGATTTTAATGTTAATTAAAATAATGTGAAAGGTATTGAGCTCTGTTAATACCTTATACGAGGAAATTTTAACAAGAGGAATTTAAATCTATTGAGAACATAACCTATTATCTAAAACAATAACAAAACTGAAATGATTTTTTTGTAATACGTTCATGAAATTTCAATGTATACATTAAACTGAGGCATCAAAAAGTTACACACATCAAACTTTCAAAAACTGAGAAAATTCCAAAATGGATATTAATGGATAAATATTTCAATGGCTAGCATCCATAACTGTTACAAGTAGTATATCATTTAAAATTTTAGATGCAGTTTATGCTGTTTGCTTTAAAAAACTGTTCAACAATTTTTAAGACTGCAATGCTGACTTTGCAAGACTTTCTTACAGAGAAAAATGCTGAAGCATTTAAAGATACATTCTCAAATATCAGAACCCAATTAGATAACAATTTTCCCCCTGGCAACATAAATTTCAGAAATGGGGACTGTTTACCACAAGAAACGAAGTTGTACCTCATCTCTTTTCAATTCAGACAAAATAGAAACAAAACAGTGCAATCACCAACAAACAATGTGAGAAAACTAGCTTCATAATCAAATTTATTATATAAAGGTGGATAAAATTTTTTTTTTATGGTAAATACTTCGTTCCTTGGAATCAGATTACTGAGCAGAAAACATTTCTTGTTAGGCACACAAACATTGGTGTCTTTAAATGCTTCAACATTTCCATATGAATACATTATGAAATAATGTTCAAACATAAAAATTCATTTTGCACTAAATAAATGTTTTTTAAAGCTAACAGCATAAACTGCAACTGAAATTCCAATTGATGTATTACTCGTAATTGTATAGGAGTGTTATCCAATGAAACAATTTGCCATTAATTTTTTGTTTTGGAATTTCTACAAACTTTGACAATTTGACTTGTGCATATTTTTGATCTCACAGAACCTTTTACAGCACATATCAAATCAATAAATACCTTTCCAGAACTACATAGAAATATTTACAGAGAATCGAACATTTTTATAGTACTGCAAATGGAATCTTCAAATCATGTAAATTTTACATTAAAGGTAGTATGTAAATCGTGCAAACTTTTTACTGAGAGGAAAGATGGAGGAATTCCAGGCATGCAAGGTCTAGTTATTGGAACCAGAAAATAATCAGAGGTGAAGTATTTGAAAATATACTGTGTGCTCACCCAGATTCCAACACAAGATTGCCAGACTGATGTGCTACTTACACTACAATAGTACATTGAAGGAATATCCTAATCTCTCACACAGTGGTATTAAAGGATATATGGAGGTTCCATTTAATCTAACCATTGGCAAAGAAGATGGGTGCTCAAAGGGAATACAATATTATGATCAATCCATGGAAACACTTCATCTTGCAGAAAATAACAACCAGTTTGCTATATAAAAGTAGTGGCTTTACTTATATTGTTAGACACATCACAGCATACAATATCATAGCAGACTGCCCTCCCCTCAAACTTCAAAAGCACATACTTTACCTTGTGTAAAAACAGAAAACACTTACTCTAGTTATTTTGAATTACTGTATATTGTTAATAATTATAAATTTTTGAAATATTACTAAATTATGTAAATATCTTACATGTTTTAAAATATTAAGCACATGATTCAACATCTCAGACAGTTTTTTTTTAACCAGTACATTAAAATACTAAAAAAATACAATGTTAAATAAGCTTGTGTTATAAACTGAAAGGAAGAACTGAGCGATTTTCACAGAAATATAGAGACTTTGCTAAAAATTTGATGTTTTTAGTATTTGCATTTGAATTTCAAGGAAATAAATAGACTACAAAAATACTCAAGAAAAATTCATTAAAAAAACTTAAAATTCAAAATGAACATTGCTTTTTTAATTCTGATATTTTTTTTTTTTGGGGGGGGGAAGAGGATTATATACAAGCAATTAATTTTTAACAACAAAAACAGGAGCAGAAAATAATATTTATACATGAAATTTTACCTAGTTTCTAATCACTTTAATTACCAGCTTTTGAGCTTTTGAATTCCTTAACTGCATTGTATATAAAAAGAAATTACACAACAGGAGAAATTTACCATTTTCACATACAAAGTAAAATAATGTCTAAAATTTATGAATATCAAACTTAATACAGGTTTTACTTGAGATATTAGTGATGGTTATAAATGATTACAAAAAGCAGACAAAATTACCCTTTGCAACTCATCAATTCTATTGTCTCTTATTTCTAAATCCATTGCAGATTTGCTTTCTAATTCTTTAATTTTATTTATGGTAAGATCTGTTTGTACAGCCCGATGAAACACCATTTGCGAACTTCTCTGCAAAGGGGCCATTAACTGAGAGTAATCCAAACTACTTCCCATTGCAGAAGATAAAGGAGATTGTAAAGAAGTTGCTTGTGGAGATGGAGGATACTAAAAAATAAATATACATAAACAAATTTGCAAATATATAAAAATATATTATTCTTTTCAATAAAAAAAAAATGTTTTCATATCCTAAAACTGTTTTATAGGAAAGAAACCATATTTTTTATTATCCTGTTCATTTTAGTACTTCCTTCTATACTAAATCTCCTCATATGGGAGAAAAAATAATAAATATTTTATGTTTTGGCAAATTCATATGAATTCTAAATTGAAATGCTGCCATGTATGACAAGCATGGCAACATTAGAGTTTAGAAGAATCATGCATATTATTCCTGTAGTAAAAAAAAAAAAAAAAAAAAAAAAACTAATATACGCGGCAAAAAATGATGCAATTAGAAAAGTATTTTTATTGGTTTTTGATGGATATTAAACTGAATACAAAAGTTTTATTTTTAATAATCAAGGATTGAATAAGAAGTATGGGAACTGATAGGAAACAATCAGTGTACATGACAGCCTAATTCAAACATCACAAGTCATGCTGTCTAGCTAGTATTGACACTCTACATGGCATGAGATCTTTCATTTATTATTTGTATGGCAAAGCGAATTGCCAGCTGCCAATTGTAGCTGTTCCATGCAGCATAAAATCTTAATCTATTGAATGCAAGCATTGTTTAACTGAATAATTTAAATGTAACGTAGATACTTCTAATATTTTTATTTTATATCTAATTTTTTTTAATGGTGTAAATTTTTAATTCATCTCATTCATTTGGTTCATAATATAACTCATGATTTTTATAAATATCTGCAATATCATTATAACTATAAAAGATATTTTACGACAAAATTACCTACTTCTACACAGAATAATTTACTTGCATTCATGACATGATTCTCAGTAGACAATACTTATAATATTTTAATTCTAGTGGTAATACTAAAAGCTGCAACTTTATATTATACTTGTAAGTCACTAAATGCTTGTTGCAAAAGACATACTAAGGCTTATTTGTCATGCAGAATAATTAACATTTGTTCATGTTCAAGAAACACATCTCTTCAGGTTCAATAGATACATTCATTCAGATTCAAGAACTATTCAAAAATGATTAAAATCATTTAATCTAATACAGCCATGTCATTTTCTGAAACATCATCATAAAGCTCCAAATCATGAATACTAGCCTGAATTTTTTGTGACTTTATTTCCGAGACCATTGGACCTAGCCTCTCATACTGAGCAACAGAGCTGTACTCAAATCTCTTCTTGTCCACATAACCTGCTCATGGGAGACTAGCACAACACAGCTGTCCATTATATTATCTACGCATTCTTCACCCAAGTAACAACTTCTTATAGCTTAGGCTTCATAAAGTTTCCATGTTGATTTCTGTGCACAAATGGTCTTTAAATGGCTTGTTTATTGCAATATCAAGAGTTTGGAGATATGCAGTCATTTCTGTGGGAATCATTATTTGATCAATTCTTTTTTTTTTTTTTGCAAGGAAGTTCTTCATGATTTTAACCTGGTGAGTGCTGGCAGAATCTCACAGTAATATATCTCCTTTACCATCTCGCAAAAGAAATGGTAGAAATAAATTGATCCCATTTCTTATTGCTGCTTGCCTGCAACAAATTTTTTTTAGTCTCAAGAACATAAATACCCTGAATATGCTCTATCTCCTCTTTCTTGCCTTTTTGAGAAAATTAGAGAGGAGGGTCATTCCGTCAAGATGAATTGCTAAAATACATGTAATGAGTGCACATTTGTAACCAGTGGAGGGAATGTATATCACAGTGGCAACCCTCTGATCAATGGTGGTTTGAGACCCATAAACACTACAGTTTCATCCATTGCAATTATGTTTGAGAGTTGGATACTTACAGAAGATGATACCATCAATGAAACATTTGAATGCAAGTGCACATATAGCCATTTCAACTCCTCCAATTTGAACAATATTGCCAATCTTCTTAGGGATAGTTCATATCACTAAATTAACCCATCTATCCAGTGTTATAATGCTTTGAATTCATCTGGCGATATGTCCAGCTGTGGCACCAACTCAAGGGTAAATGCTTGAATGCCTTACAAACAACCAAACACTTCGCTTTTCTGTCACCATTGTAAACAATCAAACACTTCACTTTTCTGTCAGGAAATCTGTCACAGATGTTGTATTCCAATTCAGGAAATAATGGTTGAAGACCTGATCTACACTTAAACTTCTTGGCATTTCTCTCATCGACCTATTAACTGAGGTTACTGTACTCTGATCACCATTTTCAGATCATTTGCTGATCTAATTTCTTCTCTTTGCAGAAAGCTGTAAGATTTTATCCCTGGAGTTTTCCATGATTCCTTTCCTGCATATGATGGAATTAATCTTTCTCCTTGCACTCAATTTATCTGAGCATCAAAATTGAATATTTAAATCAAGTGCTAGATGAATATGATATATTGAATATTAAAGATTCTAATTTGCCACAACCATGCTAGTTTGTTTCAAATGTGGATCTGTATTGCATCTTCACTTGGTCACTCGGAATAAGGCAACCATCTGACTACTGGGTAATAAGTCTAGTTAATGATATTAACTAAGGCTTATATTAGGAATAAGCTGAAAATTATGCTAGGGTTTATTATTTGATTAGGTCTTTGCTTGGCCTCTTTACAAAGATACCGCGAAATATTGTAAAAGCTTTGTAATTAATTAAAACAAAACATTTAGCCTAACTAAATAAAAACAACACCCCCCCAAAAAAGAAGCTAATCTATGTTTTTTGTGTGGTTTGTTTTTACTTGACCCTATATAAAACTAAAGTCATCAGAGCAGAATATTCCTGCGAACATGAGATACAATATGCCTTCTTGATTGCACCATATGATCATGTTGTACCTTGCAATGCAACCTGAGAACACGTACAAATCTAAACAACCTTTTCATGGCTCATTCTGTAAAAAGAAACCATTAAATTTTCTTTGTATTGTTGCTACAGTTAAGATTATCATGTTGTTTGATTCAGGTTTGTGTGGTCGTGTTTTTCCCTGGAGTCGAAAATCCATCATTTTCTTTCTGTTCAGATTTCATGAGATTTGTGCTTGTCTCAGAAATACCAAGCAGCAGCAAAAGTAACTATTTCATTACATATTTCAGATTTATTAGGAAAATGCTCCCGTAATTTGACAAAAATGTTCATAACAATAATCTTAGTGAAACTGCATTGTAGTTTTCATGTCCTAGGAAGTTTTGAAATTATATAAATATGTCAAAGAAGCAGCAAAAGCTATAGCAGTTGCTTTCTTCTCTTCCAGCTAAGTGATTATATAAATATATTAAAGAAGCAGCAAAAGCTATAGCAGTTGCTTTTTTCTCTTCCAGCTAAGTGAATGAACGAATGCTTTAATTGCTTTCCTCATCGAGATGGAGTCAGGTCGGGGTTGCTGGAGTTTACAGTTTAGCCAATAATGCCAAAAAGGAGATGCCTTCCTATTGATTATCGAATGATTGACATATTAGCAAAATTTTAAATAAAAAACTGGATGCAAGATAATTTATTGTTTCACACATTTTTTTCATTCCGTTCTCTTTGCTCAACAATATTCATATTTCATAGCATAATTTTTGCAATATGACATCTTGAAATGGTAGAACTATATTCTACAACAGTTGCATATACTTTTTGCTACATCCAGTGTTCTTAACTTAGGTCGACCGGTAGTATACACATGTCGAGGTGCTTAGACCTTTCACAATAGATTTGGACTATTCTGGAATATCTTGCAGAAAGCACATAAGCGAGTGCTGCCAGCATGATTCAGTCGGTTTATAATACAAGTCTAGTGAAATTAAACTCAGCACTTCATATAAATGAACAGTGATATGAATTAGTTCATGTAGTATAGTTAGTGTTATATTACATCTGATTTGTTCTTTTTGATATATAGTTATGTGATAATGGGCCAATTTTTGAACAGTAATAAAAGTAATAGCGCAGTTAAATAAAGCATGTCTTCAACATGTGGCATGACTGTGAAGAAACAAAAATATCATAAATATGATGACAGTTATTTAGAGTTTAGTTTTATGTCAACAGAAATGAATGGCGAAAAAAGACCGTAACATGTACTGTGTATAAGTTTTGGCAGTGGAGTGCGTCCTTCCAAGTAAACTGAAACATCATTTAGAAACTAATCACAACAGCAGCATGGCTGGCAAAGCCTAAGCCAGAAAAAAAAAAAAAAAAAAAAATAGTGTCTTACAAGGTGGCTTACAGAGCTGCAAAATGAAAGAAGCCTCATACCATCGCAGAAAAAATTATTCTACTGGCTGCTGTAGACATGGTAAACATCATGATGTTGGTGAATCTGCTTTTAAAAGTGCCTTTGTCCAATAACACAATTAGTTGGAGAATACATCATATGAAGGATATCAATGATCAATTAATTGAAAAAATTAAAGGAGTAAAATTTGAACTGTGGCTAGATGAGGCTACAAATAATAATAAGGATGCCCATTTGATACACTATGTTTGGTTTACTATTAAAGAAGGCCTTTTATATTGTAAAAATGCCACCGTAGGAGCAAAGATTTGGGATATGTTCAAGATTTTTGATTCATTCATATCTGAAAAAAATCTGGCCTCAGTGTGCTGACGTCTATACTGATGGAGCTCCCTTCATGTCTAGCTGCTATGGAGGAATACAGGCACTTTTCGAAGCAAATCGCCAAATGCACAATGGACCCCCTGCATTATTCATAGAGAAGCATCTTGTGTCAAAGCATCTGAGTTCTGCACTGAATTAGATGTTAGAATGCGTAGTGAACGAGGCAAGATTTTCCAAGTCTTGTCCATTAAAAGTAAGATTTTTTAAAAAACTGTGAGAGGACATTTTAGCCAAACACTCTTCTTTGTTGTACTATAGTAGTGCATGATGGCTTTATCAAGTACCTTTGAATTGTGGTAAGAAATTTTATTTTCCTAAAAGAGGAAGGATACAAAGATGCAAGATTTTGCCGATTTTTTAATAAAAC